GTTGGCGGCGACGGGGCCGCAGGTGGCGGTGACGGGGCCGCAGGTGGCGGCGGGGTGGCCGCAGGTGACGGCGACGGGGCCGCAGGTGACGGCGACGGGGCCGCAGGTGACGGCGACGGGGCCGCAGGTGACGGCGATGGGGCCGCAGGTGACGGCGACGGGGCCTCAGAGGGGCCGCAGAGGGGCCGCAAGGGGCCTAGACGGGGCCGTAGAGGTGCCGCACGGGGCTTAGACGGGGCCGCAGAGGGGGTCGCAAGGGGCCTAGACGGGGCGGCGACGGGGCCGTAAGGGGCCCAGACAGGGCGGCGACGGGGCCGTGAGGGGCCTAGACGGGGTGGCGACGGGGCCGTAAGGAGCCTAGACGGGGCGACGACGAGGCCGTAAGGGGCCGTAAGGGCGCCGCGAGGGGGGGGCGACGGGCGTCGCGAGGGGTTGTAAGGGGCCGTAAGGGCGGCGCGAGGGGCCGTAGCGGGCGGTGCGAAGGTAGAGAGGGCACACAGAGCGCGACTCGGGCAGGAGCGAAGCGCGCTCCGGGCAGGAAAAAAAATATATCGTGGTGGGCCCTAGGAATCGTTCCCACTAGGGAAACTGCTCTATACCATGATAAGAAACGAGGAATGAGTGCATTGAGCAGAATGAGGAGTACAAGTAGTAAACCCTAAAGTGTTGTACCCAGGGCTAATTTTTGGTTTTGAGCAACCCTTATGATCAGTGCTGCACCTAAGCAAAAACCTGATTATCAGTGTGACCCAGTAGGAAATTTCTTTTGCATCAGGGTTCACGCTAGGTTTGAAAATTTTACCCTGAGGCATCAGTGTAAGACTTGTAAAAACCCTGCTCAGTTATTGTTACAATGAGTTTAGTCCGAGTTGAGTCCTTGGCGTTGTGTAGAGCGAAACTGTATTTCTGGCCAATAGTGGCTCACTTCGTGCCAACACATGTACGCAAATTCAGGTTTTGACAGTTGGCCAACGGGAATCCCTAGTTACGGGAAAGTGGGGGGAGGTCCAGGGGGGGGGTGGTACGGTACTAGCTTCAGGGTAAAACTCGCTAAGAAGAACGGTTACCCTGGTGCATCAGTGTACCTTAAACGTATACCCTGGCTGATCAGGAAAATCACAGCTCCAAAAAAAATTACCCTGAGGCATCAGTGTGACTACCAAAAACCACCCTGATAATCAGGGTATCAGGGTGATTTACACTGATAAAATTTGGCCTGGTTATACCCCATAGGCAGCTACACGTGTGAATGATCCATCTCCTTCCATTGCATGTGGTGCTACTCCCATCCCATTCATCGCCCTCGCGCCCTACCTGGAGCAGCAGCTCACGGGCAACATCGTGAAGCCACGTGCATGTGCACGTGCCTCCTCTGCTGCCACGTGCATGTGCACGTGCCTCCTCTGCTGCCACGTGCATGCTCCTCCCTCGCGCCATTCTTGGAGCAGCACCCCCATCACCCCCATCACCCCCATCACCCCCATCACCCCGATCACCCCCATCACCCCCATCACCCCCATCACCCCTATCCGCCCCCATCACCCCTGTCCGCCCCCCAACCCCACGTACCCCCTTCCTCCATCGTTCCCCAGTCTCAACATTCGCCTCACTCTTGACTCAATTCTCCCCCCTTTACCCACCCCATCACCACCAGGCCGATATCAGAGGCACTTTTCACCGTCCCACATGCCCACATCCTAGCAGCAGACCCGCCTCTCTTCAACTCCTTTGTCCTCCCTGCATCGTACTTGCACCTCCATCCAACCCCCAATCAATCTCGCGTGCCCCCTCCTTCCACCCTTGTCTCACAATTCGCCTCACTCTTGACTCAACTCTTCCCCTTGTTCCCCCACCCTCTGCTTCCCAACCAGGCCAATATCAGAAGCCTTTTTCACCGTCCCGCACGCGCACATCCCAGCAGCAGACCCGCCTCTCTTCAACTCCCAGATGTTCATGTGCCGCCCCAAGCCCTTTGTCTTTCTTGCAACTGCCCCACTACATCCTACACAGACTAAAGCATATATGCCTGACAGGAACCGTCCTAAGCCACGGTACAACTGAGTGAGAAATGTGCAGCCTGACATCGTCCTGAGCCGAGAGAGTGAAGGGAATAGAAATTATTTGGATTTGACAGATTTTCAGGAAAAAAAATGATCAAGGACTGGGTATCAGACGCAGTGCGCTGGTATTCTCCGTCACGTCACCCATATATGGACCAAAAACTTACATAGATAGGGACTCATCATGTCCCAAACAATGTCCCCAGTGTGTATTTGCGGAAAGTAGATCAGTGAGGATGATCAAAGCCTGAGGTTAGCATGGTAAAGTTTTGAGTTATGTGGATTTGAAATAGGTTGTAGGTGACGGTGTGCAAAACTTATTTCAGTTGAGTGGCTCTAGCGAGAACTACTTTTCTCCGCGAGCAATTGAGCATTTCGTGCATACCAAACCCGCAAACCTCACCAAAAGAAAGCGATAAGTGGGTTACATGAAGAGAAGAAGACATCCAATCAGAAGGTTTCGCACAACTGACCACTCGTATGACGCACGAGGAAAGTGTGGCTGCACTAGAAGTCTCTGCAAAACTGATTCAACTCGACTGTGCTCATGAGAAATATAAAAACATTGCTACGCACATCCTAATAACGCCGCCTACTCAGACTGATATCGGTAAAAAAGGCTGACACCGATTGAGTAGGCCTTTATAGTTGCCGTCACTCATTGTACTTGAAACGGATTTGAGTTAAGGTGTAAGTCGGAAGTAAATCGCTTCCCCAATGAGCTGCGCAGATTATGTCGCACGGGAATAAGCCACTGTGCGATAGTGCATCGTGCGACTCGCTGATCCAGTTAGAGAGTCCGTTATCCACTCACTTCGATTTCTTACTGCGAAGCAGCATACCACCTGAGCGGACGAGCAGCGAGAAGGTTGAATGAGGGCGGCAGGCCGACACGGGGACTGCGAAAGGCGGAGAGGGAGGGAAGAGGCGGAGAGGGAGGGGAGAGGCGGAGGGGGAGGGAAGAGGCGGAGAGGGAGGGGAGAGGCGGAGAGGGAGGGAAGAGGTGGAGAGGGAGGGGAGAGGCGGAGAGGGAGGGGAGAGGTGGAGAGGGAGGGAAGAGGCGGATAGGGAGGGGAGAGGCGGAGAGGGAGGGGAGAGGCGGAGAGAGAAGGGAGAGGCGTAGAAGGGGATGAGGCGCGGAAGGGGATGAGGCGCGGAAGGGGACGATGAGGAAGGGGATGAGGCACGGATTTCCCTGATTCCCCTCCTTTCCTCCCCTTGCTTCCCCTCCTTTCTCCCCCCTTGCTTCCCCTCCTTTTCCCCCTTGCTTCCCCTCCTTTCCCCCCTTGCTTCCCCTCCGTTCCCCCCCTGCTTCCCCTCCGTTCCCCTCCTGCTTCCCCTCCTTCCCCCCCCTGCTTCCCCTCCTTTTCCCCCTTGCGTCCCCTCCTTTCCCCCCTTGCATCCCCTCATTACCCCCCCTGCTTCCCCTCCTTTCTCTCCTTGCTTACCCTCCTTATCCCCCTTGCTTCTCCTTCTTTCCCCCCTTGCTTCTCCTCCTCTCCCCCTCTGATTTTCCTCCTTTCCCCCCTTGTTCACCCCTCTTCCCCCCCCTGCTTCCCCTCCTTTCCCTCCATGCTTCCCCTCCTTTTCCCCCTTGCGTCCCCTCCTTTTCCCCCTTGCGTCCCCTCCTTCCCCTATCCTCCCTCTTCTTATGGTACTTCCTTCTTTCCCTCTCCCTCCTGCTTCCCTCTTCCCCCTCTTCCCTATCTCCCCTGCTTGACTTTTTCTTGTTCCCCCTCCCCATTCCTCATATTCCCTCCCTCTCCCCGGCTATTGCAGTGACTACACTGAAGATTTTTCTGGTAATGCAACTTGCCTCAGCCCATCATCCCATGCCATGTTCGTAGAGAAACCAGTTCCCCTAATGTCTGTTTCAAGGCCTTGAGAATCGTACAATCAAAAGTATTAAGAACATGCCTCTATGTACCCTTTTAACACTCATAGTGTCCATTCATCTTGGAAGAATATCTTGCACTGCAGAAACAAAAGTACATTTTGTGCCTTTGAGATGGATATCTCCAACAGTATTACAGTATCATGCTTGCATATAACAGGCAAGAAACATGTGGTGGTATGGTGTAAAGCATCGACTAGCTGCGCCTCAGCTTGCTCCTCTGCTTCACCACTTGAACATGGGGAGGGTGGTGTGAGGTGCAGTGGAACAACGGCAAGGGGATACAAGCAAGCGCACATGATGAAACCATGTATGGTGAGGAGTGAGGGGAAAGAGGAGGGCATGAAAGGAAGGGAAGGTTTGAGAAAGGATGGGGAAGGGAAGGGCAGGACAGGGAGGGAAAGGCAGGGATGGGGAGGGCAGGTGGGAACAGGACAGAGGGTGGGGGGAAGGAGGGCTGACAGTGGTGGGAAGGAGAGTAAGAGTGCAAGAGGACGGGGAGAGAGAGTGCGGGAAGACTGAGAGAGAGAGAGAGAGAGTGTGGGAAGGAGAGTGAGAGTGTGGGTGCAAGGAGAGAGAGAGTGCGGGAGAAGGGAGAGAGAGGAATGGGTTCGTGAGGGTGGGAAGGAATGTGAGAAGGTGGGAAGGAATGAGAGGGTGAGAAGGAAAGGGAGAGGGTGAGAATCTCTGAAGGAATTATATGTGGTTGGGAAGGAATGAGGGAAGGTGCGAAGGAATGAGAGTTGGCGGCAGAATAACAAAGGTTGGCCGACACGCAGGGAATCACGCTTGCGACAGGCATTTGTCCAACGAGCGAGGGTGTCGAGCATGGGAAATACGAGCGACGGGGGAAACTGCCAGCGATAGAGGATGGGGGGAAGCAGGGTAGGGGATGGTGGGAAGCAGGGCAGGGGATGGGGGGAAGCAGGGTAGGGGATGGGGGGAAGCAAGGCAGGGGATGGGGGAAGCAGGGCAAGGGATGGGGGGAAGCAGGGTAGGGGATGGGGGGAAGCAGGGCAGGCGCTGGGGGGAAAGCAGGGTAGGGGATGGGGGGAAGTAGGGAAGGGGATGGGGGGAAGCAGGGAAGGGGATGGGGGGAAGCAGGGAAGGGGATGGGGGAAAGCAGTGAAGGGGATGGGGGGAAGCAGGGAAGGGGATGGGGGGAAGCAGGGAAGGGGATGGGGGGAAGCAGGGCAGGGGTTGGGGGGAAGCAGGGTAGGGGATGGGGGGAAGCAGGGCAGGCGATGGTGGGAAGCAGGGAAGGGGATGGGGGGAAGCAGGGAAGGGGATGGGGGGAAGCAGGGCAGGCGATGGGGGGAAGCAAGGTAGGGGATGGGGGGAAGCAGGGTAAGGGATGGGGGGAAGCAGGGCAGGGGATGGGGGGAAGCAGGGCAGGGGATGGGGGAAGCAGGGGGGATGGAGGGGGGAAGCAGGGAGGAGGGAGGGGGAAAGCAGGGAGGAGGGAGGGGGGAAGTAGGGAGGAGGGAGGGGGGAAGCAGGGAGGAGGGAGGGGGGGAAGCAGGTGAGGTAAAGGAGAATAGATTGCGGGGTAAACAGAGCTGGAGGGAGAAAGGGAGGTTGGTCAAAATAAAGAGAGGTGTAAACAATTAGGGGGAAGTGAGGTCGATGGGGAGAGGGAGTGAGGGAAGTACCCGCTCTCACCTTTGTCTCTCACTCTCTGCCCCTCCCCCTCAGTTCCTCCCCCTCCGTCCTTCCCCTTCTGTGTCCTTCCCCCTCTGTCGCTCCAAATTTGTCCTTGCCCCTCTGTCTCTCCCCCTCTGTCCTCCCCCCTGTTCCTCCCCTCTCTGTCTCTCCTCCTCTGTCCTCCCCCCTGCTCCTCCCCTCTCTGTCTCTCCCCCTTGTCCTTCCCCTTCTGTCCTTCTCATCTCCCCCACCCGTTCCCTTCCTATCCCCCGCCCATCAATCATTCTTTCATTGTGACACCATCCCCCCCTCAGCTGTCCATCCCCCTCTGTTCCCACCGCTCTGCCCCTCACATCAGTATGCACTCACTGCGGTTGGAAGGAGCGAGGGCGTATAAGGGAGTTGCTACACCCGATGCGCGGGCCGTCGACTTCAGCTAGTGATCTACGGCAGATTGCGGGTGAATGGTTGAGCGTGTGACAAAGGGAGGAGTGTGCGTAATGAGGGGAAGCACGCGTGATGAGGGGAGGATAGCGCATAACGAGGGGAAACGCGCGTGTCGAGAAGGCACGTGCGCGACGAGCGGAAATGCGCGTGATGAAGGGAATCGCGCGTTACGAGGTGAAACGCGCGTGATGAAGGGAAACGCGAGTGACGAACGGAAGGGCATGCCGAAGGGAAGCACGGAATCCCGGGCAGGCGCGAGCGACGAGGGCAGGCGCGAGTGACGAGGGCAGGCGCGGGTGGCTAGGGGGAGCGCGGGTGACGACGCGCGCTAAACGTGGGGTAGAATGGTGAAGCACTCGTTTGTGACACACGTTCCGTGTGAGTAACGCGAGAATGTATGTAAATATCGTGTGTGACACTGGGCTTGTGCTGCCCAGCTATTGGCGAGATAGCATGCATGACGTGAAATGCGCGTGAAAAACGCGGTCGGGGAACTAGCTGATGCTGCTCAGGCTTTCTACTCACGAGGGGGAGTAGGCTGATCAAGGATATGTGAGAGCCTAACAGTGGGCCAACCTGAGCGACGTTCGGTTCTGTTTTGCGATTGTGCACAAAAGCCAATGAGAGAGTGTCGCTAGGCGTTGTCCCAGAGTCGCGAGATGTAAAGAATTTTCTCGGATTCCTTCTGGGTCTTACTGTAAACGTACAGCCCAGCTTTCAGAAAAGTAGGCTAGGTCCGACGACCTCGCCTTCCGAACCACTATCGCGTCGCCTTCAGGTTTTCCAATCCCGAACCTACACCCAGCCATCTCGCGGCCCCGCGACCATCGCCTAGGTAGCTCTGCTATATTAGTCCTAGGCTTCATTGTTACGATGTGAAGTTTTATGAGAAGGCATTCCTGTATGCTGCAGGAGCCGACTCTACCGAGTACGAAGTTGAGGAGTCAGAAGAGCCGAAGCGACGCAGCAACCGTCAGACCAAGACCGATGCTGGCAGAAACATTTGAAGTGAAAAGAGCGGGAACAGGTTTTGAACGGGTTCCCGCGCCGCACGGTTTCTGAATTCAGTTGTAATAAGGGAATGTACCCCTTAGAGCACATGGCTAGTCTAGGTCCTTTCGTATTCCCTTGTACTCTTATATAAACTCGATGTATGCATGCTATTATCAACTCAGTCATTTACATTCACTCTGACCTGAGATACAAACTTCCGCTGCAACACTACACCGCGATCAACCCTGAGCGATCCTTTGCTAAGTCCCACTTGGGATTGTAACATGGTATGAGAGCTACTCAGGGATTCTTCGCAACTTCACTTCCGTGAAATTCGCCGAATCAAGACCTGGCGAGCGGCACACGCTCCAAGACCAAGATGACCGGAGGATCCGGAGGCCAAGCAAATCTGACGGCTGAAGGACAACCCAATCCAGCTACGACAAGTGAGGCGACAACCACGATCGGCACTGCCGCCCTCGAGCAACTTTTCACTCGACTTTCAACTATGGAGAAAGAACTCCAAGAACTGCGCAAAGGCGATGCGGGAATCTCTTCCCAACCAGCACAACCTGGACAACCGGCTGAGAAAAGCCGTGATACCGCCGCGCACACCTTCTCCCTCGACACAGACAAATCAGCAACAACTGCCCCCCGTCCAAGTGATGAGGCTATCAACTCTGCGCAAACACGCTTCCTCAGCATTTCAAAGATCAAGACTACTGCCGCGTTTGACGGCAATGATTTTTACACATGGAGTTTTGAGCTGGAGCTCCTCCTACAAACAGCGCAGATCTACCATTACTTCGAAAGCTCCTACCCTAAACCGGTGGAAAACACCGACGTCGCCAGGGCTCAGTACTACAGTGAGTCCCTCATGGCTTACAGTGTGCTACTACGCAGCATGACGCCTGCGGAACAACTCAACATACGCTCCTACAAAGAGAGCGACGCTCCAGCAATGGAAGCTTGGAAGCACCTCGTTGAAGTTTACCAGCCGAAGGATTCGGTCACCGCCAGCAGGCTTCTCCAACAACTCCTGGAGATAAAGATGGGGCACGGGGAGAAGGCAAATCCATATATTAACCGCTGTCGCAACATCCGTGACCAGATCACGAAGCATGGGAGTACGATCTCAGAAGAGATTTTCGTCAATACAGTCCTTCAAGGACTCGGGCCTGAGTGGAAGCCCTGCAAGGCGTTACTCCGACAGCGAGGAACAATTTCAGAAGCCGCGCTATGCGCCGCACTTCTATCCGAACAGCAGGATATGGACTCGAGCAGAACAAGCTCCGCGCCGCGCCGAGAGCGCCTCGCCTTCTACACGGACAACCGAGAAGAGCGACGACAACCAAGGCGCCATTACTGCAAAATATGCAAAGTCTTCGGACACTCAACGGATAGATGTAAATCCCGATCCAACTATCGCCACCCAAATTCCACTCACCACAACAACTAGGTCGGCCAACAAGACGTTCGTCATCCTCAACCTCAGCATCAGCAAGCTCGTCCTCCTGCGCAACACCAGCAAAATCAAGGACCACAGTCAGGAGCTCCCAGGAATGTCATCGCAAACATGGCGACACGACGCCGGCGCACCACTGAACCTGACGAGGAGAACTAACTCCAAGGAAGACTTCTGGAACCAGAAGAGGGATGGAATAATCCCTTCACCGAGGATCACTACTACCTGCACGACGACGACGAGCAGGACTGGAACCTTCCAATCACGCTGCGGGAAAGCCCGCCTCACGAAAATCAGCACTACGTACCAGTGGGCTGGAAGGAGGACGAAGATCCTTACTTCCACAAGCGCTTCAAGACCACCCTGGTAACTCCACGATTGGCGCTGCGGTTGCGCCGTAACAACACTGACAATTACAACACCTGGTACCTGGACAGCTGCTGCGGCCAGGTGGGGTCCACGCGCTATGTCTCTAACCTAAGTCGCGCCCCTGCAACTTATGTCACCGTCGCCAACAACGAGCAGCTGCGCGCCAACTCACAAGGACTTGTCGTCCTGCAAGCACGAGATAGCTGACAAAATTAGAAGAAAGAAAGAGGATTGAACTAGCAAGAATGAGGATACAAATAGCAAACCCTAGAAGGGTTGTACTCGCTATAGAGCACCCCACTACAGGCTAGAACATAAGATAATATTCTGACACACCCCCATAGCCAAAGTGGGGTGTAATCAGCAAAGCAGGCAAAGCAGTACAAGCTCAGGGTGGATCACAATGTCACCACACATTCTGAGCACAAGTTCAAGAAGCAATAGTTTAGAGTTCACAATTATGAGCAAAGCTAGTGGTAGTCACAACGGGCAAGTGAGGAGGAGGAGGGAGAGTGAGAGGAGAGGAGATAGAAGACGGCGGCTGAAGCTGCAGACACACGGGCAACAGGAGTGGCGAGCACAGTGGCTACCGGACTAAGCGCCCGGACTACAGGAGCAACAGGCCCCGCGGCTTAAGCAGCGGCAGACGGGCAACGGACCCACAGGCGACTGGCGCAGCGACAAGCTCACTGGGCTACCGGGACAACGCCCCGGACTACAGGTGCTGCGGACAACATGCTGGCAGCCTCCACTCAACCTCCCGCAGACAGTCCCATCCCCCTGATACACACCCGCTGCTACACCCCTAGCTCCACTCCCACGCACCCCCCTTAAACCCTAAACCCAAGTCTCCCACACAGCCACCCCCCTCAGCGACAGCTGCAGCAGTGGGAGACGAAGGAGGAGGAGGAGCAAAGGGAGGAAGGCACACCGGCCACCCCCATACCCGACACCCCACCGCTCGCCGCGGCCCCCGAAGGAGCCGCGACGGGCGACGGGAAAAAGGGGGGGGGGGGGGGGGGTGGAGAAAGGGGCCCACCACGGGCCTGAGAGGGTCGCAGGTAGGGGCACGGGGCCGGGGCCGCAGGTAGGGCGACGGGCCGCAGGTAGGGCGGCGAGGCCGCGACAGAAGGGGCGGCGGGGCCGCGAAGGTGAGGGCGGCGGGTGGGCCGCAAAGGTAGGGCGGCGGGTGGCCGCGAAGGTAAGGCGGCGGGTGGGCCACGAAGGTAGGGCGGCGGGTGGCCGCGAAGGTAGGGCGGCGGGTGGCCGCGACGGTAGGGCGGCGGGTGGCCGCGAAGGTAGGGCGGCGGGTGGCCGCGAAGGTAGGGCGGCGGGTGGCCGCGAAGGTAGGGCGGCGGGTGGCCGCGAAGGTAGGGCGGCGGGTGGCCGCGAAGGTAGGGCGGCGGGTGGCCGCGAAGGTAGGGCGGCGGGTGGCCGCGACGGTAGGGCGGCGGGTGGCCGCGACGGTAGGGCGGCGGGTGGCCGCGAAGGTAGGGCGGCGGGTGGCCGCGACGGTAGGGCAGCGGGGCCGCGACGGGTCCCCGTCGCCCGTCGCGGCGCCTCCAGAAGGCGACGCGACGAACGACGGGGCAGACGCCCGCCGCGCGCCTCGGGGCGCACGTCGGGAAGGAAAAGTAGCAGCGGAAGCGAGGTGGTAACCCACCCACAGGATCGATCCAAGGGGATCGACCTGCTCTGATAGCATGACAAAATTAGAAGAAAGAAAGAGGATTGAACTAGCAAGAATGAGGATACAAATAGCAAACCCTAGAAGGGTTGTACTCGCTATAGAGCACCCCACTACAGGCTAGAACATAAGATAATATTTTGACAATAGCAACACGCACATCTCGTTCAATGACGTACTCTACGTCCCGAACCTGCGCTTCAACCTGCTCTCTGCTGGACAGCTCCGCGATTGCGGCGTCATCATTCACACAGACCTCGCGACGCGCGATCTCATCCTCACCTACGCTCCCCTGGACACTCCTCCTGAGGCATTCAAGTATCTCGGACGAGCTCGCTCCATCAATGGGATCTATATCCTAGACTTTGACATACCTCCCTGTCAAGCCTCGTCGGACGAGCTCGTGGATCTTGTCCCCCTCGAGTTCGCTTTCATGAACAAAGAGTCTTGGGAGCATCCGGATGGAAGACCGTGGGTTC